TCTTGCTTTGCTCATCACTAGCTATTAACATCCTAATACTATTCGGTAGGTAATTAAAAATTGCATTTCCTCGTAAGTTAAAAAAGACTATGGCATTATATTTAAATTAATCAAGTTATAGCCACTTAAAGTTCTTATTTGATTAGGTTAAATTTGGGGACACCCTATATAACATGGCAAGTTTATTATCATTGGGAAAAAAATATGATTTATTGTTACACTTCACTACAAATTACGTTTACATAACTTAAATAATTCTAAAGTATTTGACACATGAAAATTAGATTAGATTTTGGTAAAATTCGGATTATTTGAAAAAACTGTGTTCACTGAATGATTCCTACTATCTGTTTAAGTGATTACAACTCTCGACTACATGGTCTAAAACTAAAGCTTAAAGTGAGCTCCCCTTCTATTTCAGTCATTGACAATCAGCGATAAAGCAATCATAATAATATTGATAATTATTCGGAAAACTTAGTTGCGGCTTCCCGCTGTTTACGAAATGATTCATTGCAGTACAGTGTTTAATAGATCAGTTAAATATGAGGTGGAAATGTCTAAAGTCGAGCAAGTGGCGACATTTGTTTGTTACTGTTATGAACTTGTAAGTGAGTTTTTCAACTTATATTTTTTATACCATAGTGATACTCAATTTGCACGTGGTGAAATAATGAGTGCTTTCAATTTTAAGAGCGTGATTATGTCATAAGGTGCGGTCCAATGTAAGTTGTTTTCAATTTGTAGCACATAAAATGTAAATGATACCTGGATTTTAAAATAAAGCTGTGTATTTTGAAAAACAAACGTTTATTGATCTGTTTAAGTCTATTTCTTGGATGTATTTGTCATTTTATTTGAGAAAAATGCAATCCTGAAAAGTGTTTCAAATTGAAACATTGTTTCATCTGTTAAGGTTTTACGTGATTTATTATATTTGCTCTCTTGGCTAAATGTAGGATAATAAATCATATTGCATACCTATTTACATATTTTAACAAATTTTCCGGTCACGTATCAGTTAACTAATGCCTAATCAGCCTAATATTCCGTTACAATATATTTTTATGTGTTGTCAAAGTAGACAAATTTTTTCAGTTTCTTTCGGTTAGCAATCACTTCAACAATTTTAATTTAATCTTAGTTTATACTATATATATAGTCTTAACAATCTTAGTTTATTAAACTTATTAGTTTCTACCCAGTTTTTTTGATATTTACCTAAAAGTTATAATTAAATTGAGTTTTTTGTAGTCTATGCAATTCGGTGCGCAAAACACATTTTTCAATTTAGGATATACAAAACGATTGAATTACTCGCCTAAGTTTTACTCACCGGTTCTTATCAGAAAATTGAATGTTTGTCTAATTTAGAAACATTTTTCGTACCTGCAAGGGTTTCGATTAAAGCATTAGTTAGAATTGCTGCTGCCTGCATTGCAGCTCTGCATGCAATGTGGCTAATAACTATTTTTATAGAGCTAGTGGTAATATAAAAAAATTACAGAATGCTGTTTTGTGCAATTAGAAGAAACTTTCATTAATTTGTTAAATTTCTTGCTTTTATTTCCGGGTCGTTTGTTGTTGTACTTGCCATGTAAACATGCCTTCATGTTCCTGAATAATATTATTTTGGCTTAGCTTCTGTTTGCGTATTGAATAATTTTTGAAGAGTGATTTCTTGTTTAAATAGCAAATCATTTGCATTATTATAATTGGAAACGTCTAAAGCTCTAAGGCAGGTCTTGAGTTAGCGACAGAATGCGAAGCGCTTTTCTCACAATTCGATAACAATTATTTGAAGAACCTGCCATTAGTATTTAAGGTTTTACAACAGAATTATAAATTAAAGATTTTTATTTTGAATGGACTAATCAAAATTATTTAACAATTCGTTCGTTCCAAACATTAATTTTATAGAATTATGGTTTGGAAATTGGCATTTTCGTAGTCAAAGCTTAGTGAATTATTGAAAAAGATCACTAGTGTACTTAATTCTGTTGCATTTGATTTGATTTGATTAGACCCGATTAGCCCTAATATAATTGTGACAATTGTTATTAAGGCCAAGAAACAACATCTAAGCTACAGTACTAAAGTGGCCTGAGAATATTATAGCTTTGAACCATGTGCCTAACTAGGAAATACTAACCGAAAGCTTTAGTGCACCTACTCATAAATGCAATACATTATTATCGCTGTTATATTTCAGTGGGATTTGATTCTGTGTTTTATACTATTTGTTTCCTATCTTTCAGCAGCCCACATGGCGGCTTTGGGGAGAAGAAAAAGCAGATGGCGCCCTGTATACAGTCTACCTCAAAAAAGTCCGGTACCATCGACCAACCAGAAGTGTTTCGTCTTCACATTCGGTGAGTTACAAAAAATATATAAATTGGTAAATACTGAAAAAACGTGTTTCAAATACACATACTCATGCATGCATAATGAATGGCCGGAGTCTCACAATATTGAAGAATTTGTATTATATCTCGTATGCGCAATTATGCAGGATTTCATGCTGTAAATCGTATAGATAACAGTTTTTAATAAATATAAATCAGTTTTTAAATAAAATATGTGAATTTTTACCATTTTTAGTTTAGAACACCTGAATCTATGAACTTAACAGCTCAGTAAAAGATTTGCGTCAAAGTTTGCCATTTCAATATATGCTCGAAGCAGTTTCTTAGCTACAGAAGTTTACCTGAGCGGACGTGAGTGTCGAGCTTACTTCTTCCGAAAACTGGGTTTATTACTGAAAGGCAAAGATTGAAATTTCAGTATTATAATTTTATAAGCACAGGATTTATTGTTATACATCAAAACTGTTGTATAACAAGATAAACCAAATGTGTTTAAATTATTGATGACTAGAAAACAGTTAAGAAAAGCTGTTCCCAAAATGTCCTAATTTTATTATCCGAATTAATTGGTTTAATTTCAGTTTATTTTGCAGTTTTCAACGAATATTTTCTCAACAGTTGTCTGTTGTAAACAAATAGAATAGACAGATATTTTTAATTAAAAATACCCTATTTTACTCTAAAATGTCTTTCCAATTTTTTTGCAATTCAAAATGATATCAAATCCATTCTACTCGTATAACAAGTAAAACTGTGAATTTAGCAAGAAAGTTTAAACCGCTCAACGACTACCAAACCGCTCTATACATCTGAGGTATTTTATCCGATTTCTTTAATGAGAAAATTTCTTTAATGGGTTTTTAAAATTTTGAAATAAGTGAAAGAATATATAAATATATTATTCATTTTTTGGCTTGACGGCAAATATTAATTAAACTAAAATTTCTCACATTTCACCCTTGAGTTTATTATTTGCTTCAACTTATTTCATCGAGCATCAATCCTAATAATTATTGTTAGTTAAAGATAATATTCCATAAGTGCAATTTAATTAAATTTTTGATCTTTTCAGGACTCGGACGATGAAATCTCGCATTTAGAATGGGAAACTGTGCGAGTCCGTTTTGTGAAAGCCGGCACACTTAAAAACTTGGTCGAAGCTCTTTCAACTGATGATGGAGAGCTGGAAACTACGTATATCAATGTGTTTTTAGCTACTTATAGAAGTTTTTCTACTGCAAAAGAAGTACTAACGTTACTGTTGGAGCGGTACGAAGAACTAACACAGTCTGCTCAAAATGGAAGACCGGAACAACATGACCAACATAAAAAGTAATTATATTTACTTTTTCCAATTTTGCAATATTTGTTTTGTATTTTATGTAAGGCAGCATTGATATTAGTTGTGATACTGGATTAAGCAATTATCTATAAAATGAAAGCGTCTATCAAGTTTAAGAATAAATACTTTTTCATTTTTTGGTTTGCGAATACAGGTTTGTCGTTTAATTGAATATTTATCCAGACAAGTAGTTTAATAAGTAAACCAGAAGTCTAAAAAGATCAGATTAGTGAAAAATGAATAAATGAAAAATTAATAATGAACAACGTTAAATGATTGGAACATGACAAATCGTTTTCATTTGCTAGTTTGTTATAACTTATACCACAGCTTAAATATCCTGATCCATTATTCTCGCATACGAACGGACAAAATAGGAATACTTCAAGAAAAATGTAACTTATTTCGATTTTCTTCGCATTAGAAATATTTTTTGTATAGCATATTACTAAGCAATTTCCGCATGTATAAGAGAATAATTGTCGCACCTGTGGATACAATTTTACATATGCATATGAGAAGAAAAAATATTATTTAGTCTGAGAAATTCCTTCTCAGCAAATTCTCAATAGCCATGTTTTTCTTCTTAAATGTGACAATTTTTCAATATTTCCTATTGTTTTATTGGTATGCTTTCTTATTTCAGAACTCTCATATCCGCCCTACATGTTTGGCTCGATAGTTACCCAGAAGACTTCAAAGACCCTCCAAATTATCCCGCCCTTCGACTACTGCTCAACTTTTCTGAAGACTATTTACCAAATACCGAGTTAGATGCCAAAGTTCGTCATAGGCTCGATAGGTGAGTGTTCAGCCAACTAATTTTCTATACCCCAATTTAATTTTAATAAATCGTCGAATGAAAATTACAAAAGTACATAGAAAACATACATGTCGGACAATTGTATTCGTTCAATACGAACTGAATTTTCTATCATGTTATTATTGGTAGTAATTGGAGTCGGATTAACATGCGGGAGACTTCCCCATATTTACTCGATTAATAAATAATTAATAACTTTTCTATTTTTAGATATTCAAGGGAAGCTCATGTCGATCCCCTTTTAGCACCCCCGCCTGCTTTTGCGATGAGATCTATCGCGTCATCCGGATGGAGGAATTACAAGTTACCAGACGTACCAGTAAGGCATTTTGCCGAACAACTTACCAGAATGGATGTGGTAAGATCTTTCACTAATTTGTAACATTTTTATATTGGAAATTTATTTAAATTGTGGTTACATAAATATGTGTATGGTGGCATGGTTTATATGACTGGAAGTTGATGTAAGAATATCTCGAAACAGTTGTAAAGGTACAGATAATAATTGTTTTTGTGTATTTTAATAAATTATCAACATTCACAGTTTTGTTGGAATCCACTGGAAGACTGACTGGATACTATTACCTCCACGCTATTACCTCTTTAATTATTTTATGAATTTTTTAAGAACTTTGTAATTCAATTTTTTTACAAATATGCACTTGAATTGTTCGATTTTCTTTCCACATAATTATTATTTTGTCCTGTATCTTCTGTAGTTAAAATAATTATTAAAGCACTTCTTTATTGCAAGTCATTAGATCATCCACTTTTCACTTTCGTAGTTCTCTTGGATATATATTGAATTTATTACCTTGGCTTAATTGATAGACTTGGAATTTGCTGGAACTTTTTAGATATTTTTTTACTTTGATTTTTACTTATGGTTTAATAACTTTTTTGGCAAATTCTTTTCTCACATTAGTTTTGATATTTTCGGAATCGGAAACATTTTGATGTACTTTGAACAGAGCAACAACATGTGTACGTTTAATTAATAACTCGGCAAAATAGTCTGAACTGTTTCGTGTTGTTAATATTATAATATTTTTTTAAATGAAAAACACTTTTATCAAGTTCTCAACTCATTGTTGCCAAAGGTGATTGCTTTATTTTTGTTCTGCTTCAAAGCCCTAATTAATTTCTTAATTTAATTTCCTGAACTCCTCTATCCCGGAAGCAAAAACGCCTGTTAAATTATTTTTCTCTTATATTATCTTGAATAACATCCTTTATCGGCTCTAAGAAATAGTAGAATTTCACATTCAGGATGTAAGGTATTTATAGAAGAGAAGCGTTTAATTCAATTTCTCATTATGCACGTTTTGCTCCTTAGCGAAAGTCGATAGAAAAGGTTTTGCATTTGTTGCAGTATTTTGTTTTTCTGTGGCTGAACGGTCAGTTCCGGTAATTACACCAACAATTACATGCGAATTGTTGCAAATTTTAATTGGTTTGTTTATGCATATGATTCATTGTATTTTTAAGTGTTTCAGAACATTTAATTCCCAGATCTAATGCAGTGTTATATCTGTGTAAAAATAGTAATATATTCAAAAAAAGAAAAATATTAAATGTGTTGAAAATACTTTACAGTTTCATAAATTAATTTGTTTTAGGATTTATTTAAGAAGCTAGTCCCACATCAATGCTTAGGAGCAGTGTGGTCTCGTCGAGATCGAAGTCGCTCTCACGAAGCTGCCACTGTTTTAGCTACAGTTAATCAATTCAATGCAGTATCATTTAGGTGAGCAATTTTTCTTTTATAACATTTTGGAATTTTTCCATACATAATTAGTTGTGATGTTTATTTGATTCCATCTGAAACCAGTTCTTAACAAATTTGTCTATGTAATACTTGAGTGGTGAATTTGCTATTTTCAAACCAAATACAGAATTGTTTTCTCTTCAGGGTAATTTCCTCAATATTAGTTGAACCAGGCCTAAAAACATATGACAGAGCGTGTCTGATAGCAGGTTGGATAGACATAGCTCAAGAACTTAGACTCATCAAGAACTTCAGCAGTTTAAAGGCGATTATTAGTGGATTACAGAGTAACCCGATATACAGGTAAGATCTAAGAAATTGCGAATTAATTTCTAGACTCGATCGATTAAAATATTGTTTGTCTTGTCTTTGGTGATTTTTTTTTCATGTTTTAAATATTCTTCAAAAATTGAAAATCTGTAAACTGTTTAAAATATAATAATTTGTAAAGAATTTTTATTTTCTGATAATTCAAATTGAAAACTAAAGCCTGTGTCCCATGCATCCGTTTATACGATAGTACGATGATAGTGTTTCTATTGGTTGGAGATGATTCGTACGACGAAGTATGAAATATATTATATTACCATCGTATAAACGGATGCATGGGCCACAGGCTTACCTCAGCTTCATAGGCGATTGTTTGCATTTCGACAGGTCCTTGGACTTTTAGGCTTAAAAACGCAACAGTTTTAAGCAATAAAAGCTGAACCTTTTTTATACTTGAAGCTTAATTCAAGTAACTTTTGTTCAATATTCCAAGTCATTTTAGTTACCAGTTTTAATATTGAATAGTAAAATACCTTACAAATTTGTAATTATTACATTTAATTGACTCGTTTACTGGACATTAAATTAAATATATTACTTTTTAGGCTTCAAAAAACTTGGCAAGCAATAGCCAAAGAAAAAATTGAACTATTTGATGAGCTGGCTCGCATATTTAGTGAAGATAACAATCAGTGGACACAACGAGAGCTTCTAATGAAAGAGGGAACTGCCAAATTTGCAGGTAACAATATTTGGTCAAGTTTCATATTTAAATAAAAATAACATTTTCATATTTTCGTAAAAGTTTACATACACAAAAGTAGTCGGGATCCTTACGAGAGCGAAATTGAAAATAATTCCACAAATCCCAACTACTTTCATGTTTATAAGATGAAACAACAAACTACAAACTTCCAACAAATTCTCTCCTTTTCCATTTATAAGCATTTTAAAATGTTTGAACAAATTTGAAAAAATCTTTAAATAATATTTTTTTTTTCACATTTCAGACACAGTTGGAGAAAACGACAAACAACTGCAAAAGATCTTCCAACGCCAGAACAATCATACCGCGAATATTTCATTTGGTACCATTCCCTATTTGGGAACGTTCCTCACTGATCTCACTATGATAGATACTGCCATTCCAGACTCTATTGGTGATGGTTTGATTAACTTTGATAAGAGAAGGAAAGAATTTGAAGTCCTGGCTCAGATCAAGCTATTACAGGTAAACTAAGCCCTGATCTTGTTAGAGTACAAATTTAATTCAAAATCCCTGTGTTCGGTCTTAAACAAAAACCACTCTATTAGTTTGGATAAACATTTGAAAATTTTTTCTTTGTTTGTTATCTGAAAGTTATCTGAAATTACCCAATGTGATTTTCCAATAAATTATTATTAATAGGGTGCTGCAAATGCTTATCACTTTATGGAAGATCCAGCTTTCGATAGATGGTTCGACTCGATTTTGGTCCTGGATGACCGAGAAGCCTATCAACTCAGTTGTCAAATCGAACCTGCTACCAATGGACAAAACAGAAAGGACCGGTATGTGCAGGAATTAAAATATAATGTAGTTCTTATTGCCATGATTTTAATTTTTAGGAGCAACAAAGCGAGGGGGATTCCTGGTCATCAGAAGAACGACTCAATTACAAGCACAAGCAGCAGTAACAGCTCTCAATTTTACTGTGATGTTGATAGTATCACTAGTTCACCACATAATAGCATTGATCGTAAAATGAGTCCCAGTCAAATGTCGAATTCGAGTAGTAATTCTTCGTTGCCAAGTTTGGATATTAGTTTAAACAGTTCGCATTCGGGTAAGTCATTTTACTGTATATTATAAACTGTACAGATCCAGAGAATGTATTAGTGCCAATACTCGTCTTTTTTTTGGTTTCAGAAAGAAGTTTATGTGAAATTTACATCTCTTATTTTTTTCACAACACATTTATTAACAAAAAAACACCGTTTGAAAAAAAAAATTAATTTCTCGGAAATTTAAAGGGCAAATCGGCATTAATCTATAATATAATTTGAAAATTGTTCTCCTGTGTACAAATCTCTTTCAATCAGTAAGTTCAGTTTTCCACACTTCATTTTTTACAACTAATTATTTTTCCAATATTCCTTGCCAGTCCTCACATACAGTAGTTGCTGAATAAACAGTAATATAATTTAATCCTTGCGACGAATTATGTG